TGGCCTAGCCAAATTGATACACACATTTTTCGGGGGACGTAATTCAAACCATGACATCTGGTCTTTCTACTTAAGCTGTGTGGAGATAGAAATTTGAAGTAACATAAAATATGAGATAAAAATTGTGTTTTTAAAAAAAAAGCAGTGGCATTAAATTAATATGCTTTTAATCATCTGCATAATAATCAGACATCTGACCAAAATAGGCTTGCAGGGCTGGGACTGCTGCCTTTCTGGTAGTCAGCATTTCTGAGTTTTTGATATTTTATTAGTATCACTCACCAGCTGAGTTCAACATGAAATGACAAAGTAAGGTCACCAGTGATTGTTCTTCCACGGTTCTCTGGCTTTGATGAGTCACTGCAGTACAGTCTTCTGACCCAAGTGCCAACAAGAATAGATGCACAATAGAAAAATAAAACAACCCGAGAGATGAAGCAAAAACAGCTCCAAACTTGGTGTGTTTACAGCTCTGCCGCATTTAGCTGTGTGACCTTGTGCAAGTCAGCCTCCCGGGGCCCTGGGTTTCTCATGCAAAAAATAAGGGGATTGTACTTTCTGGGGCCTCTTGCTGAAGTTATGTGAGCTTTGGAGTTTAATATCCACAAAAAGAGGTAGGAGATAAAACACTTTGAGACAGTGCTTCGTGACTTGTGTAATTATAATAGCTTTGTTAACTGTTGGGAACTGGCAGTGCCAGATGAGTCAGCCTGGCAGGTAGCTCTTGGAGATCAGTGATGATTTTTTGGTTAAAAACACTGACAATTGCACAAGTTTAGGTGCCAGCGGTCAGGGTGATGCCAAGCTCCAGAAATAGCAGCTAGGCTTTTATACGGAGGACAGTATGAAGGGGATGACTGTCATGAAGTGGTTTTCCCAGCCTAACCTCCACTTCAGCTTTCCTTAAGGATAGGGCTCATTTGGGAAGCCATGGTGGTATAATACCACTATCCAGTAAGCAATCCACCCCACTTGTTTTGCTTGGGAAGTCACTACCAGTGACTGAGAAGAGGCAGGTGGTATTTTGAACCTCCCTCCTCTGCCTGGCTTGGTTCTCCAAGGATAGGCATAAAAGGAGAACTCTGGACAAGTGCATGTTCTGTATTACGAGCTTCAGCTAGCTGCAAATCCCTAGTGACTGGGCCTGGGTTAAGCATGGACCTCCTAGGGACTGGTATATCTGAAGCACCCATCCTTCTCCTTTTCCCTTGGACCCCTTCCGGGATCTCTCTAGCAGCCAAAGAAGCAAGGAACAGAATTCCCCCTTCTCTCAGGCCTGGACCAGAGCTTGCCTAATCTGTGCATTCTGTGTACATGGCCCAGCTTGGCCTGTCTGTAGGAGTTCCCATGAGAGAGATAGTGGGCAGTTGGGTGGGAACTCAAGGTAGGCCTCGTGCTAAATCCCAGCTGTGCCACTTCTTGACTGTGGAACCTGGGGTAAGTTACTTAGGTTGGACAGTAAATGTGGTAATATTAGTAGTCATCAAGCAGGTAGTCTTGTTATGTCCTCAAGAATTCCATTTTATTCTGAAGCCATATGAAAGCAACTCCTGTTTGGAGGAGAGAAGGTGAAGGTGAGGCAGGAAAATAGACCTTTCACACCTCCCTCCCACCCTAGTAGCGTGTGTGATAAGCACCAAAAGCAGATTTGACACCACAGACCAACCTCCTTACATAGGCCCTGCTTAGGTATTTAGTGTTGCTGTAACAGAATTACCACAAGTGGGTGGCTTTAACAAACAAATGTATTTGTTGTTGTTGTTAGGTGCTGTCTAGTCAGCTCTGACTCATATCGACCCTGCGTACGTCAGAACTAAACGCAGCCCGATACTGCACCATCCTCATAATCATTCCTCTGTTTGAGCCCACTGTTGCAGCCACTGTATCAGTCTATCTTGTTGAGAGTCTTCCTCTTTCTCGCTGACCCTCTGCTTTACCAAGCATGGTGTCCTTCTCCAGAGACTGATCCCTCCTGATAACATGTCCAGAGTACATGAGATGAGGTCTCCCTGTCCTCACTTCTCAGGAGCATTCTCGAGGCTAGAAGTCTGAATTCCTGGGGCCAGCTGTAGGGGAATACTTTCTTTCTCTGTGGGCTCTGGGGAAAGGTCCTTGTCTCAGCTTCTGTCTCTAGGTTCTTTGGTGATCTTCATGTGGTGTGGCATCTATCTTCCCCCATCTCTGCTTGCTTCTCTATGCCTAATCTGCTCTTTTGTATCTCAAAAGAGATTGATTTAAGATACACCCTACAAAAAAAAGACACACACCACGCTAATACTGTCTAAGTATCATAACAAAGAAAATGCATTCCTGAATGGGATTATAACCACAGGCATAGGGGTTTGCAACACATATTTTTGGGAGACATAATTCAATCCATAAGAGGCTCCTAGAATAATGATTTTCAGATCTTATAAACAACAATCTGCGTTTTAAAAATAAAGTTTTGCACAAAATTAATGAGTAAAAGCAGCCCTTTGTATAAGTTAAAATTTGTAATAAAGCCTATCAGAAAATGAAGCAGTTTTGGTTAATGTAGAAATGTGATATAGGAGAAATAACAAATGACTGTTAATGGACTTAGAACATACAGATAAGTAGTTGCAAATGGTAATCTTTTTTTTTTTTTTTTTTAACAGTTCTTGCAATCAAGGAATATTGGTTAATTGGTTACTTCGAAAGCTGTCCAGCATACAGGCTAGAATATATATTGTTCACATGGGAATGAATTTTTGAATTATTAATTTAATGTATATACCTTTAAAAAATAAATTTAAAGTAAATGTTGAAATGTTTGAAACATTCCGTAGAATCCCAGAGTTTGGCAGAAGACTACTAGAAACATACTCTCTTAGATCTTGCAACAACCAATTCTCAGTTTTCTTTCAGATTCCTAGTTTGTTGTGACATGTTTGTGCAGGCTTGGGGACATCTATACAGTGTTCAAAACTAAAACCATTTGACGTAAAAACCGGTTAAATCTAAGTAAGGTCTATAGTCTTGTTGACAGTGTTGTACAGATGTTACCTTTGGAGGAGACTGGGTGAAGGGTACGTGGGACTTTGTACTATTTTTGCAACTTACTGCGAGTCCGTAATTTTTTTCTTTAGCTAAAGAAAAAGTCATCTAAAATGATCAAAAAATTATCATCTTTTACTTAACTGTTAGGAGGGTATACAACCAGACCCATGGTGTGATGCATATAGCACATTTATATAGTGACTTTCATTATCTTACCTTTAAAAAAAAAAAAATGCACCTTTTCTTTCCTTACCACTGAGTTCTTTATACTCCATACTTACTCTGTCACCTACTGTGACACTGTTAAAGTTTTGGAAAGAACACAGCCAATGGCAAGTCAACAAAAGCTCCCTTTTAGGAAATCTATTTTAGCTGCTGCTTCATTACTTAAGAAGAAAACGGTGCTAAAACAACAGAAGTTCAGTCTGCAGTCACCTGATACAAAATAAGACGTATGAATGGCATAGCATCTTTTCCTGAAGCATTTCTGAGCTTGAAAGGTTTAGTAATTAGGCCAAAGCAGTCTCAGCATGTTGTGATATTATTATGCAGCTGGGTGTCCAAATCAGAGTGCCCTATAGCCCAGTGTGACAATACAATATGACAGTATTCTACAGGGGAAAAGGTAAAGGGTTAAAAATACCTAAAAAGGAATAAAGTAAACTTCTGATCGATTCACTTCCTTGTATGTAAAGTAAAAATGGGCATGACGGTTGTGAAATACGGGGTTTTCTGTTCCTGGGTTTTTACAATGTGCCGTAAATTACTTCCTTGTACTTTGGGAAGATTGTGCAAATCTTAGTAGTTTTGCTCTTATCCCTTGAAGACGCTTAACCTGTGGCGTCACTGGGGTTGGTGTCACCCAGTGCAGTAACTCATGGTGTCACCCCCCATGCTAATTACCACAATATTGTAACTAAAACACCAGAAAATCTGACAAAATCAGCTACTATAAAAACACCAGCAGCAAAGAAAAGAACAACTCATTCTTGTAGTGCATCCCATGATTCGAAGCATCCTTGTAATTGGGTAATAGTGACAGCTCTGACTGGAGCACAGTAGAACGTTCAAAAGATAAATTAGTATAGAGTTGTAACCTTGTAGGTATATTGATACATGTCAGCTGGGCTTATGACAAAAAATTTCTTGTTAAAACTAACCACAGGGATATTTTTAAATAAAAAAATTTCTGCTGAAACACTGCACACAGATTTTATACACAGTCATTTTGGTGTCACCCACTGCGTTCTGCACCCTCATACTCCTCTAGTAATGCCAGTGCACTCAAAAGAATTCCCTATCTATTTTCATTGTAATTGCCAGAAAGTTCAGGCTCCAAATTAACCTGAAAGAGTGATGGTTTCATGTGTTTTGACTAGAATGGATTGGTGGTGGTGAGCACATCGTCACACCTGTGAAGGTGAACTGACTTAATGACATCTTTAGTAAATCTTTAAGGAGCCCTGGTGGTGCAGTGGTTAAGTGCTCGGGTGCTAACCAAAAGGTTGGCAGTTTGAACCTACCAGCCACTCTGCGGGAGAAAGATGTGGCAGTCTGCTCCAGTAAAGATTCCAGCCTTGGAAACCCTATGGGGCAGTTCTCCTCTGTCCTGTAGGGTTGCTGAGTCCAGATCAACTCGACAGCCTTGGGTTGGTTTAGTAGAATCTTTAGTATGTATTAATATAATTCCTTTTTGTTTTTTAAGCTCAGTTTATTCAGGAATATAAAATACCAAGACCATAAGGTCCTTTGGCATAAAGCAGGACTCAGGATTAAGTGCTCGACTATTAGCCGAAAGGTTGGCAGTTCTACTCTGCACACGTGGAGTTGTTGCCATGAGTTGGAATTGGCTCACCAGAAACAACAACAGTTTTGCACCATTTCTGGAGACTACTTTGGCTTACCTTTGAGACAAGCACTAAGCTCTCAGCTTCCTGAAAATCACTATGCCTGACCAACTTTTCTGGCTTCTTCTCCAGGGTTATCAATGCTGGGAAGAGCACACACAATGAAGACCAAGCCAGCTGTGAGGTGCTCACTGTGAAGAAGAAAGCAGGGGCCATTACCTCAACCCCAAACAGGAACTCGTCTAAGCGACGGTCCTCCCTTCCCAACGGGGAAGGGCTGCAACTAAAGGAGAACTCGGTAAGACCCTCCTTCATACTTGTTTCTCAGGTGAGAGGTACAACACACACTTGCCCCACTAAGATACTAGAGCTTAATCCAGGGTCTGTAATGGTAGAGAGAAAAGCAGTGTCCTCAGAGTTTCTGGAGTGGTGGGTCTATACTCAGAGCCTCACACATTCAATGCTCAAGGTGACATACGTTTGAAGAACTGACATTTAGGATTTCAATCTGAGTGATGCAAATGGTTAACGCTCTCAGCTACTTACCAAAAGGTTGGTGGTTCGAGTTCATCCAGAAGCACCTTGGATAAAAGCCCTGGTGATCTACTTCCAAAAAATCAGCCATTGAAACCTCTTTGGAGCACAGTTCTACTCTGACATGCGTGGGGTTGGCATCTACTCAACAGCAACTGGTTTTTTGGTTTTAAAGTAAACACCCCCCCATATTATATATAGTCTTTGATGCAAGAATTTGTATATATAACATTAACCCTTCAGATGATATGAAAGAAGCCAATTCTAGGTTTTTGTGAACACAACAGTCCGGAAGCCTCTCATGAGTGTGGAAATAACTCTTAGCCATTGCCTTCTGACTAATAACTCTCAGCCATAGCCCTGCTGTGACTTTGTCACTCTTTTCCCCTTGCCTGACCATTATAATTATTCAGTTGGAGCCTGTGCATGACGTTTTTCCTTAATTAATACTTGTTTCAATTGGCCAAAAGCCTGTGCGGCCCATGTGGTAGCCCTAGAGACTAAGTGCTCTGTTGACACACAACAAAGCATTTCCCCTCTCTCTACTTTCTGGGGCAAAAAGCAGACATATCCTTGGGAAGTGCCAAAGAACCATTTCCAAAGGAGTAAAGAATGATCAGCACTGTGCATCAGCAGGTTAATTTTTTCTAGGGTAAGATGTTTGCTGGGAAAATTAGATGCTGAATAGGATGAACCAAGTGTGACTATTCATCCTAATAATCTTGAGGATAATTCTGTATATAATTTTTATAGGAATTTAGAGGGCCTAGGAATCTCCTCTTAGTCTAAGAAACAGCGTCTCACTGCATTTATGCTTAGGGAATAATAATGAGAGTACTGATTTATTAGTACTAGTTCAGCCTAGAGTTAAAAAACACAGCAGCCTATGGAGACTGGTCGGTTGCACTTGTTTTCAAGACTGAAGGAAGCATTGATAAACCTCTCCAGTGTTTTACCTGAATATTCTTCCCAAAGAGGCAGAGTTGAGGACCCTAATGGGCAGTATAGAATAATAGTGTTTAAATGTATAGGCTCTAAGAAAATGTTCTGCATCCCAATTTGGTTAGTGGCATCTGGGGTCTTAAAAGCTAGCGACCGGCTATCTAAGATGCATCAATTGGTCCCAGCTCACCTGGAGTAAAGGAGAATGAAGAACACCAAAGTCACAAGGAAAGTATTAGCCCTAGAGAGAGAAAGGGCCACATAAACCAGAGACTGCATCAGTCTGAGACCAGAAGAACTAGATGGTGCCCGGCTACCACCAATGACCGCTCTGACAGGGAGCACAACAGAAAGTCCCTGATGGAGCATGAGAAAAGTGGGATGCAGAATTCAAATTCTAGTAGAAAGACAAGACTTAATGGTCTGACTGAGACTGGAGAATCCCCAGAAAGCATGGCCCCCGGACTCTCTGTCAACCCAGAACTAAAACCATTCGTGAGGCCAACTCTTCAGACAAAGATTAGACTGAACTATGGGACTTTAAATGATACTTGTGAAGAGTGTGCTTCTTAGCTCAAGTAGATACATGAGACTTAATGGGCAGCTCCTGTCCAGAGGAGAGATGAGAAGGTAGAGAAGGTCAGGAGCTGGTTGAATGGACACGGGAAGTCGGGTGGAAAGGAGGAGTGTGCTGTCACAGTATAGGGAGAGTAATTAGGGTCATATAACTATGTATAAATTTTTGTATGAGAGACTAACTTGAATTGTAAACTTTCACTTAAAGTACACAATAAGAAGAATAAAATAAATGTACAGGCTCTAGAGTAAAATGGTTAGGGGCAGTCCCCCAATTAGATTATTTAATTTGGAGAGAGTTATTTGTTCTTTGAGCCTTAGTTTCCTGGCATAATAGTATAATACTAAAAGGTATAATAGTAATAACCACCAAATATGGTAGAAACAGGCTGGTTGGAAGTTATTAAACCCAAGAGTCCATGTAAAGTGTTGAGCCAGTGCCTTAATTAATAAGCCCTTAATAAACTTTAGCAACTACTATTCTGAAGTCAGTCCCACTTCTGTCGTTGTCTGTGGATAATGCCCACTGAATTATGTACATTTATTCATTTGTAAATTGGAGATCACACAATTCCTCCATACTACTTTACTGGATTTTTTTTTTTTTAATTGTGCTTTAGGTGAAAGTTTACAACACAAATTAGTTTCTTACTCAAAAATTTATACACAAATTGTTTTGTGACATTAGTTGCAATCCCCACAGTGTGTCAGCACTCTGCCCTTTTCCTTTTCCACCCTGGATTTCCCGTGTCTATTCTTCCAGTTTTCCTGTCCCTTCCTGCCTTTTTGTCTTTGTTTTTGGGACAGTATTGTCCATTTGGTCTCGTATACTTATTTTTGGGAAGGTGTTGTCTATTTGGTCTTATATACTTGATTGAACTAAGAAGCACGTTCCTCACGTGTGTTATTGTTTGTTTTATAGGCCTGTCTAATCTTTGGCTGAAAGGTGGACTTCAGGAGTGGCTGCAGTTCTGAGTTAGCAGGGTACCTGGGGACCATAGTCTCGGGGGTTCCTCCAACCTCTGTCAGACCAGTAAGTCTGGTCTTTTTTTGTGAATTTTAATTTTGTTCTACATTTTTCTCCAGCTCTGTCTGGGACCCTCTACTGTGATCCCTGTCAGAGCAGTCAGTGTTGGTAGCCAGGTACCGTCTAGTTCTTCTGGGCTCAGGCTGGCTGGAGGCTGTGGTTCATGTGGTGCATTTGTCCTTTGGATTAATCTTTCCCTTGTAATTTTGGTTTTCTTCATTCTTCCTTGCTCCAGACGAGGTGGGACCAGTAGACGTATCTTAGATGGCCACTCTCAAGCTTTTAAGACCCCAGACGCTACTCACCAACGTAGGATGTAGAACGTTTTCTTTATGAACTATGTTTTGCCTGTTGACCTAGATATTCCCTGAGACCATGGTTCCCATCCCTCAGCCCCGGTAACTTGGTCCTTCAAGGCATTTGGATGTTTCTAGGAAGCTTCTGTGACTTTGTCTTGGTGAAGTTATGCTGATTTCACTTGTATTGTGTGTTCTCTTTCCCTTCACCAAAGTTAACACTTAACTTAGCTAATGATTTGTCCTGTCCACCACCCACCCCCAATAAACATCAAAGTTTGTTTTTTACTGTGGGTAAACCTTTTCTCGGGTTTTTATGATAGTTGTCTTATATAATATTTGTCCTTTTGTGATTGACTTATTTCACTCAGCATAATGGCCTCCAGATGTTTCATGGAGTCGTCATTGTTCTTTATTGTTATGTAGTATTCCATTGTGTATATGTACCATAATTTGTTTACCCATTCATCTGTTGATGGGCACTTAGGTTGTTTCCATCTTTTTGCTATTGTGAATAATGCTGCAGTGAACATGGGTGTGCGTATGTCTACTCATGTGACAGCTCTTATTTCTCTAGGATGTATTCCTAGGAGTGGGATTGCTGGATCGCATGCTATTTCTGGCTTTTTTAAGGAGGCACTATATCGTTTTGCATAGTGGTTGTAACATTTTATATTCCCACTAGCAGTGCATAGGAGTTCCAGTCTCCCTGCAGTTTCTCCAACATTTGTTATTTTTTGTTTTTTTGATTCATGCCAGTAATGTCGGGTAAGGTGGTATCTCATTGTAGTTTTGATTTGCATTTAACCAAAAAGGTTAGCAGTTCGAATCCACCAGCCACTCCTTGGAAACCCTATGGGGCAGTTCTGCTCTGTCCAGTAGGGTCGCTATGAGTTGGAATCAACTCAACAGCAACGGGTCTTTGGGTTTAATGGCTAATGATTGCAAGCATCATGTGTCTGTTAGCTGCCTCAGTGTCGTCTTTGGTGAAGTGTCTGTTCATATCCTTTGCCATTTTTTAATTGGATTATTTGTCTTTTTGTTATCGAGGTGTTGAAATATTCTATGGATTTTAGAGATCAGACCTTTTTTGGGATATGTCATAGCCAAAAATTTTTTCCCAGTCTGTAGGTTCTCTTTTTACTCTTGGTGAAGTCTTTTAATAAGCATAAGTGTTTAATTTTTAGGAGCTCCCAGTTATCTAGTTTATCTTCTGTCATTTGTGCATTATTAGTTATGGTTTGTATTCTATTTATGGCATGTATTAGGGCCCCTAGCACTGTCCCTGTGTTTTCTTCCATGATGTTTATAGTTTTAGGTTTTACATTTAGGTCTTTGATTCATTTTGAGTTTGTTTTTGTGTATGGTGTGAGGTATAGGTTGTCGTTTTTTTTACAGATGGACATCTAGTTCTACCAGCACCATTTCTTAAAAAAGACTGCCTTTTCCCCATTTAATGGACTCTGGTCCTTTGTCAAAGATCAGTTGACCATAGGTGAGTGGATTTACATCTGGGTTCTTGATTCTGTTCCATTGGTCTGTGTGTCTGTTGTACCAGTAGCAGGCTGTTTTGACTACCATGGCTGTATAGTAGGTTATGAGATACACGATTATTTGATTGAATAATTATTAGAAAAGGCTCTAGAAACATGAAGCATTAATGATAATTAGATATGGTGTCAGTGATTTAATTTTACTCTTTCCCTTTATATTTCTCCCCTGCCACTGGGATATAAAGCAGACTGACTCATCATAGTGATTTCTGTAAAAATAGTCAGTCTTGACATTTGGTCCATTGCCAGCTGGTGATGGCATTTTTCCTTGTTGATAAGTTCCCCTTAGAAATGGAACAAGGGTAACTTCTTAACCTCCTGTCCTCAAGAACAATATAACCAGTACATAAATGCTTCAGGAGGCGGCCGT